AGAGAGAGAGAGACAGAGAGAGAGAGACAGAGAGAGAGAGAACAGAGAAAGACAGAGAGAGAGAGAGAGAGAGAGAAACACACACACACAGAGAGAGAGAGAGAGAGAGAGAGAGAGAGAGAGAGAGAACTGAACTATATTTTCTATATCATGCAATTCACCTATTTCAAATATACAATTCAGTGATTTACACCAAACTTACCAAGCTGTTCAACTATCCCTGAAACGGTTTAGAACTGTTTTCTCATCCTCCAAAGAACTATCATTCTGGCCAGGGAGATGGCTCAGTAGAATAAGGCTTGTCTGGGAAGTGCAAGGGTCTGAGTTCTATCCCCGGTTCCACAAAAAATAAAATAAAATAAAAGGAGGAGGAGGAAGAGGAGAAAAAAGAAAAAGAAGAAGAAGGGGGAGGGGGAGGAGGAGGAGGAGGAGGAGGAGGAGGAGGAGGAGGAGGAGGAGACTTGTTAGGTTGCATTGAGTGTTAAAAATAATGATACTTATAACATCCTTACACAAGTCTTATGTGTATATATTTTCATTTTTCCACAAGTAGATGCCTTGAAAAGTGTTAGGTCATATGTCAAATTAAGTTTGTATTTTAACAGACCCATTAAACTATTTTTGAAGTAGTTTTCCTTTAATACGTCTATCTGCAAAAAAAAATATTTCTAGCTGCAATATGAGGGTCCCCACCTTTCCTCCTTATTAAATGTTAATGTTTTTGTATATAATCTTACTATACATTTCCTGTTGTATTTTTCTTATAACAAATGTTAAGATTATATCTTTTTTTCTTTCACACTAGGAATTCAACTCTGGGCCTTTTGCATGCCAGGCAGGTGCTTGTGCCACTGAACTATATCCCTGGCAGTTTGACATATTTCCTTGTGCTTATTAGCCTGTTTATTTGTTTGTTTGTTTATTTATTTATTTATTTATTTATTTATTTATTTTGTGGTACCGGGGATTGAACTCAGGATCTTGTGCTTGCCAGGAAAGTGCTTATTCTACTGAGCCATCGCCCCTGTCCCTCCCCACTGCAAAATTTTTGTTTAAATTTTGTTGAATTTCCATTGAAATCTTTTGCTAATAAGTTTGTTATTAGATTAGTTCATTTTAATATTTTCAAATTGTATGAAGTTTTTGTGTATTCTAGATACAAGCCATTTAGCTTATTTATATTTTGCAACTATTTTCACTCAATCTCTTCTTACCTTTTACTTTTCTTAGTGATATAGGTAATATCTTATTAGTAAAATAAATTATAATAATTTATAACAAATTGTTAAAGTTCAATTTCTTTGTTTGTTTTTAAATGTATTTGGTACCAGGTCTCACCACACAGCTCAGACTAATAGTGATCCTAATGTTTTCAGCCTTAGACCACTGGAATTATAGGCATGTGCCACCACACCTTGACTTGTTCACCAAGTCAGCACACCTGGGGGTGGGGCTGGTGCCGGTATTGAACCCTGGTCCCTGCGCTTGCCCAAGCAGGGTGCTCAGTCCACTGAGCTATCTTGCCAGCCCTAAAGTTCAATTTCAAAGAACACTGACTACAGATATTAATCACCATATTATTATATTAATCTAGATTTCAACAGCCAAAAGTATAAAAATATACCATTAGTGGCAGGGTGTGGTGGTGCATGCCTGTAAACCCAGTACTCAGGAGGCTGAAGCAGGAGGATGGTTATGAGTTCAAGACCAGTCTGGGTTTCAAAATGAGCTCAAGGCAAGTCTAAACTGCATAGCAAGACCCTGTCTCAAAAAGATAAAATACATACACACATACATACCTACATATGTCAGTGTCAAGATAAAATTAAGTATTAATTATATGAGATAATATTAACAATGTAGAAAAATAGGTATGATGAATACATAATCAATTTATGCAAGAAATATGAACAATGGATATAGGAAAGTATTCATAATGTCATCAGGTCAGGTAATGAAAACTAAAATAACACTAAAATATTTCACACTTTTAAAATTGGACAAATTATATATCAAATGTCCTTGAAGTTTGAACTGTACAGAGCAGTATATGGTCTTTTACCTAATTATCTGTGGCAAGACCATTTTGAAAGGAGATTCAGAAATATCATAAGATGCAATATTCTCATTCTATTTAACATAAAAGAAAATACTTTTAGAAAAACTCACAAATACAAAAATCACAGGTATGTTAATAATGAGCTATCTGAAAAATAAATTAAGAAATAAAAATCATTCACATAGCATCATAAAAATTTCATCACTTATGAACAAGTTCAATCATGGAAAGGAAAGCTCTGTATGTGAAAAACTGAAAAACATTGATGGAAAATATTGAAATACCAAACAATGGAGAAGGAATCCTATGACCAGGAACTAGAATAATCAATATAGTTAACACATCCATACTACTCAACCATGATTATTTACAATCCCTCTCAAAATTCTAATGGCATCATTTTTTTTATATAGAAGTAGAAAAGCAATCCTGAAGTTTGTATGGGAAACTGAAAGGATCCCAATAGCAAAGGAATCTTGAACAAAAAGAACAAAGTTAGATGTATCACTTCCTGATTTGAAAATATGACCAAGCTACAGTAATTGAAATCATTTCTTTGCCAAGAATTACGTTTTCTTCATTTGTTTCAAGTGTATTTCTTATTTGTTCACTTAAGCATTTGTATGATGGCTGCTTTACAATTCACAGCAAATAATTGTAATTTCTATATCATCCTGATGTTGACCTCTGTTGATTCCTTTCTTAGTCTGAGAGCTTCCTCATTGTGGTTATGATGTGGTTTTTAACTGAACCCCCGGGTTGTTACATAACTTCGGGTTCTAATTAGGTGTAGTTTTTTCATCACACCTCCTTTGACATTTCTCAATGAAATGAAGGAGATGGTGACCTGTGTGGTAACACGAAGAAGGTATCTGAGTTCTCTATCTGGCCTCTTATGACACCTGGCTAGGGAGGGAGATTGCTCCCGCTGAGTTAAGGGAGATTCTAGGCTCCCCATTATTCCCACATTGAAGCCACCACAGCAGGGAAGGGGAATGGTACCTCTTTATCTGCCCGGTGGCCTCCACTGC